GGAGGAGTTAGGCTTTGGAAAAATACAAGAGTTTTAAAGAGGCCCATAAACTATTTGTTCCATTTAATTGAGGCCTTAAAGCTAATATAATTGAGTTTTTTTTTTTCTAAAGAATTAGATGTGATTCATTTTCTAATTATTGAAATATTTTCCAATGAAAGCCTATTTGGTACAGTGTGTAAAGTTCCGGCCGAAGAAAAAAATTAACGGTATGGCATGGAAAGGCCACTGTGGTCCATGATTAGCTAGCTAGCACTTTTGTTCTTTTCATTTTATTTTACTTTTGTGATCTTGGGTTGGACATGGGAGGTAATACTTTTTTTTTTTATTTTTTAACTTACTCCATTATAACTTGAATTTATTCTACTAAATATGTTATGTGATTTAAATTTAAATTTTTTTTATTTTAATAAAAAAATTATTATTAAATTATTATCTCTTTATGCATTTATTGGTAGTTCACCATGGTAACTCAAGCACTTGTACAGCTTGAAGCCCACCTTAAGAGCTTCCATTAAAAGATATCAATATCAAAGTCACTTTAATCCGCATCTTAATTCCTATCCTAGTGTGTGATAAGTTGAATTTGTATACATATTAATGTGGAGTTGTTGCCTTGATGTTATTGATATTTGGAAGAGTTTTATGAGATTTTACTAAGTTTTACATGGTTTTCATTTTTTGAGTAGAAAATGACTCAAATGCATAATAATAGGAGTTTTTGAGATTAATTGAACATCTTCTCAAAGTTGAGGGACTGAATCGCAAGAAGAAGGACACCCCTTTGGGACCTTAATGAATGAATCTTGAGTTTTGGGATCTAAGTGCTCATTGTGCAAAAGCTGGCGGACAATCTATTATTTTATCATTAAAGAAATTGCAAAAGGAGGCCTGAAACTCGACACGAGTGTAGTGTCAACACGTAATTTGGGACTCGACACCATGTGTTAATCGTCCAGAATCAAACTTTTTCGTTTCTTGTTTTGTGTCAACACGTAATTCGGGGTGTCAACACCATACGTTCAACGTCCAACATTCAAGTTTCCTATTCTATTTCAAATCCTACTTCTATTCCAATTAAGATATCTAAAACCTTATAAATAGCCATCCAAATTCAAAATTAAGAGAGTTTTGGGAGGCTGGTGGCAGCCATCTTTTGGGTATTCTTGAAGATCAGGAGAGAGGATTCAATAATAGGAGATTAAGTATTACAATTTTCTCAAATTTGGTTTTATTCTTCCTTGTTATTCTTATATTCATAACTATAATTTTAGATTTTATTATTTTTATTATAAACTGATTTATTTTATTAGGGTTACGATGTAGCCTAATCAATTCAATATAGATTTTGTGATTTTATACTTTCAATTAAAGTTATTTGCATGAAGAGTTTATATTATTGAACTTAATACATTAAAAGCCTGATCACATTTCGATTGATTTAGTGATTTACGCATGAACTTGAGAAAGAATTGTGTAAATTAGACTTATAATAATAAAAACCGTGTGCTAGACTATGAGATCGAGAAGTAATTAACTCACATGTGGGAGTGGAGGAAGAGAAGAGAGTTAGGAGCTCCCCCTTCTTAAGCTAGTGGTTTTCATAGAATTTAATGCTCATTAGTTTGTTTAAAATTACATAAAGATATGATTAATTTAACAAATAAGTGAAGGATTAAGTTGACTTGAGAAAGCTAGTTAATTAATTTAGGAAAATCCGCCATCACATGCAATAACATTCAACAAATTAGCATATTAATCCAGAATTTATATTGATTGATTATGGTGAAATCAATGCCTTAGTATCTTATATCTTAGATAGTTTTATTTTAATTGTTAGTTTCTTTTTGTTATTTTAATTAAAATCCCCTATTTTTTATTGTTCAAATAAATTTAGATTAATTATTTTTATACTTAATTAGACACAATTCTCGTGGATTTGACACTCTCTTATTATTATATTACTTGAAGCGATTAGTCCACTTGCGAGGGTGATTTTAGTGCATCATTGTGCTACAATAATCTCTTCAGCTATGGGGTTTTGAGGAAAGCAAGTTTAATCTAGAACATGATTTGCCAATGTAGTGCCAATTCTTGGATCTTGCAAGAGACAGACTTACCTGCCATTCAATATTAGGCCTTGGATTTGTGCAGGGCAGCAACTTGCAACGGCTATTTGCCTATCTCTCCCTTTATCAAGTTTTTCCTTCTACCTGTTGACAGTACGTTATATTTGGAGGTTATTTATGTAATTTATGTAATCTGGCCTTGTACATATATATAAATATGTAACCCTAATTTCATGTGAATGTGAAAGTGATTATCCACGGTTTCATGGTATCAGAGCCACCATCCAGCACCAAGTCTCTTTTCTAGTTTATTGTTCTTTCATCTTCTTCTCTAAGGTCTTCTCTAAGGTCTTGTCAACCTCCCTAGGCTAGTGTAGTTATGGCTACCTCTGATTCAAAAACCACTTCATTTTCTGATTCACAAATCTCTTCTTCGTCTACCCCAATTCCTATTTTCTCCATGAATCCCTCTTTCAACACTATTCCAACCACCACACTTAATCTACCTACTCTCTCGCCTCTTCCAAATTTTAGAACCCTATCTACTCCAAGTCTTCCATCCACTTATCTAACTTTTCAATCTTCTTCTATTTTCTCCCATCGTGTGTTTACAGTTTCCAACGTCAAGACCCGAGAAACATTAACGCATGAAAATTATATTATTTGGAGAGAGTTGATGACTCCTGTCTTCAAAAGCAAAGGGGTATAAGGCCATATTGAGGGTACAGATCCTTGTCCTCCTCCTTCCGGTCCTCACTATGAAGCTTGGGTGCAGATTGATTATCAGATTTTATCCTGGATTCATGCCGCTATTTCAACAGATGTATTGCAAATGATTATTCAACCGGGTAAAACCCTTTCTGCCGAAAAAACTTGGGATGCCATTCATGCTTCTTATCATAATCAATTGGCTGCCAGAAAAATGTATGTCAAACAGGAGTTTGTTTCTCTTCAAAAACAATCCGGACGGTCTATGTTACACTACTTGCAATATGTCAACAAGAAACTTTATATATCTAATAATGAATAATTTATATATA